TCTGGTGGGAGGTGTCACGGCCCATGGCAGGGGAATTGGAACTAGATGATCTTCAAGGTCCCTTCCAACCTAAACCATTCTATGATTCTGGAAATAGTTCTGAAAAAAGCAGCCAGTGAGTAGAAGTCTCTGTAAGACAGCAAGGAGAGCCTAGGCTTTCTGGTTTTCCAAATACACATGAGTATGAAGATGCCGGGCAGCTGCTGCTCTGATGTGCTTAAAAATGGACTAGGTGGGTAGACATAGTGCTTAGAGATATGGTTTAATGATGGTTTTTGTCAGTGTTAGGCTGACGGTTGGACTAGATGATCTGAAAGGTCCCTTCCAACCTAAGCAATTCTATGATTCTATGAAATTGCACATCCCTCTTGCTCTGTGTTTAATTCATTTCATTAATGAGATCCTCCCAACGACACTAGGATCAGCCTGTCAACCCCGGTGTTACACCTAAAATCCCAAAGAATTGGTTTGTTTTCCTTCCCTGCCATTTGTAAAGCGAAACTTGTGTTTGCAACCAATTACTGCTGCTTTTCCCAAGCTGTATTTTCCCAACAAATACTTATAGTGGGATTTATTTGTCAGGGAAATCAAGGCATCGCTACACATTTTCCCAAATACAACCATTTTCTTTTGTTTTCTGATTTATTTAGTACCTTTTCTTTGCCCTACTGGTAGTTACAGCTTTGGCTAAATGACTATTAGCTTTATTTTGTTAATGAAGGGAGAGTTTTCTTCAGATCTCCCATGAGACTGCCAAGCAGAACCAGGCACACCACGTCTCTTCGGTGTTTCATCAACTTACTGTTTCAGGGTAAATTATTTTTAACTGGAATGAGCTAAGTTACCGTTTTTTATCTGAATAAGTAACCAGAAAAATCCTGTTTAAAACTGTCTTTATACATATATAGATGCCTTAAGGAAAGATTCATATTTCTTTGAAAACCATATAAACATATTTATAATTTAGACTTTTCATTAAGCTGTATTTTTTGGCTAAAAAGACTACAGATGTACCCATTTCTGAGAGTGGTTAAATATGTAGCAATATTTGTGCCGTTTCTTTACATTTTACTTATGTTGGCAAATCATGACTGATGCTTTTTTTTATTTTTTTTGGATGATTACTTGTACGCTCGTGGTTTTTTGCCAAGTTGGGCAAAACAGGCACTCAGTAAAATTAATGTATACAGGATTTTATTTATTAGCTCATGAAAGCGCTCTCAAATATGATGAATACAGAAGAGGGGAAATAAGCTTATCCAAAGCTGTTCTACATTCAAAATTAGTAAACAAAGGAAACGTTATGGATAATGAAGGAACTGAGCTGATGCTTCTAAATATGTGAAAATACGTAAGTGAAAATAGGTAGATTTTGCCATTTCACACATTCTTTCATGCCTTCCTGCTGCGTCAACCCCCATCCCTCTCCCAGGTTCGAAGCATTTATTTGCTGAGTTAAAATCCCAGGGTAGGAGGTTGTTAACAGAAATGTTCCCTTTGCATCCCCTGGGGATGTTGTGAGTAAAATCCATTTAAATCGACAAACCCCGGTCTGTTGAAACGCTCAGATGCTCAGACAGTGGCTTCTGTTTGGTAGTTTGACTTTTCTAAAACGTTCAGCACTGCTTCTTTCTCTCAATTTACATCACCCAGAAAAAGACTACGACTTTAAATCAGCCGTAGATTTTTTTTTCCCCCCACCATATTAAATTCATCTGTTTTTAAAAGGAAGACGTATTTAAATACAAGTCACTCCCAAAGCACAAAAGAAATCCTGTGCTCTTCAGCTAAATTCACATCTTCAACTCTCCAATTAGATCTCTACCTGATCTAATCTGAACGAATTTTAAGGGCTACTCGGGGAGCAGCTACACAAAAAGGCTTCCAAGCACCATAACCCAACCTGAGGTCCTTGGTGACCTCAGCTTATAGCCACTCATGTCCCACATCAGGTGCTCTCTTGGTACCTCCTCTTTGTGGAAAGGCCACCAAACAGAAGTGATTTTCACAGTGCATTCTTGGAGAACCTTTATATTGCATTAGCAAAGTACCCAGCCCTGACAGACCGGGGTAGGGGCTGCAAACGCTGGTTGGGTGAGCAAAGAGAGAAAACTGAGCACCCATTTAATTTTAATTTTTACGGGTTTATGAAAAACTCCTTTCATAAAGAAGTTTATGAGAAAAAAAGCAGCCAGGATTGACTTACTTTCCCCAGTTACTCTCAAGTGAAACATCAGTTGGCCAATGCATTAAGTCCAGGCTGGTGATGAATCCAGCAGACGTATTGCGCGCTCGTTCGTGCTGCAGTTTTGGGTCCTTGGTAGTTTGACTTTTCTAAAACGTTCAGCACTGCTTCTTTCTCTCAATTTACATCACCCAGAAAAAGACTACGACTTTAAATCAGCCGTAGATTTTTTTTTCCCCCCACCATATTAAATTCATCTGTTTTTAAAAGGAAGACGTATTTAAATACAAGTCACTCCCAAAGCACAAAAGAAATCCTGTGCTCTTCAGCTAAATTCACATCTTCAACTCTCCAATTAGATCTCTACCTGATCTAATCTGAACGAATTTTAAGGGCTACTCGGGGAGCAGCTACACAAAAAGGCTTCCAAGCACCATAACCCAACCTGAGGTCCTTGGTGACCTCAGCTTATAGCCACTCATGTCCCACATCAGGTGCTCTCTTGGTACCTCCTCTTTGTGGAAAGGCCACCAAACAGAAGTGATTTCCACAGTGCATTCTTGGAGAACCTTTATATTGCATTAGCAAAGTACCCAGCCCTGATAGGGTAGGGGCTGCAAACGCCGGTTGGGTGAGCAAAGAGAGAAAACTAAGCACCCATTTAATTTTAATTTTTACGGGTTTATGAAAAACTCCTTTCATAAAGAAGTTTATGAGAAAAAAAGCAGCCAGGATTGACTTACTTTCCCCAGTTACTCTCAAGTGAAACATCAGTTGGCCAATGCATTAAGTCCAGGCTGGTGATGAATCCAGCAGACATATTGCACGCTCGTTCGTGCTGCAGTTTTGGGTCTTCTGAGGCTGCCAGACTCTCAGATTCATCTTCACGCTGCGGAGTCATAAACCTGCAAGGAATGGGATGAATTAGGCAAAAGCAGATGGTGAACTTGTCATATGTTGATTCCACGCTACGAGCAACAGCTGTGCAAGAGTTACCCCGCAGCCTCACCCAGGGGCCAAATGTTTGCACCATTAAATGTTTGAAATTCAACCCAGTGCTGGGGCAGAGGGGAGGTCCAAAATAAAAGCAAGCTGGTGTCCTGGGAGACTGAAATCCAGCCAGGATGGGTCTGTAGACTGCAGAATAGCCATAAGCAGAACAAAAATGGTCAGGGTATTTTGTTGGCAGCTTCCCTTTTGAGACTGCTGATAAAGAAACCAGTTATGAGCCTTCCAGTACCTGAAGAGGGCCTACAGGAGAGATGGGGAGGGACTCTTGATGAGGGAGTGGAGCCATAGGATGAGGGGGAAGGGTTTAAACAGAAATAGGGGAGATTTAGATGAGATATTAGGAAGAAATTCCTTACTGTGAGGATGGTGAGACACTGGAACAGGTTGCCCAGGGAAGCTGTGGATGCCCCATCCCTGGAGGGGTTCAAGGCCAGGCTGGATGGGGCTTTGAGCAACCTGGTCTGGTGGGAGGTGGGGGTTGGAACTCGATGATCTTTGAGGTCCCTTCCAACCCGAACCATTCTATGATTCTATGACATTTTAATGTTATCCTTTCAGATTGGACCGAGATGTCTGCCTCTCATTCGAGGTATATAGCCAGTGAGTCTTTGGATCAGAATAAACCCAGGGTGGATCTCGAGTTCGAAATGAAAATCTGTATCTTGTCAGTGAACATTTCGACCATCCGATGGTCTGTAGGTCGTGACTCTTGACACCAGGCTCTGACAAGTGAAGGCACGTGGAGGGACACATCTCGCTCTCCATCTGGCTCAGGCTGGTGGAGAAAACTATTCCCGTGGGGCAGATAAGGAGGCTCAGGTTCAGACAACTGAAAGAACAGAAAGAATTTGGGTTGTTGAGTCTAAATCAGCCTGAGTGGTAGCAGAGGAGGGAAGCAACGAACGTGGCCTTTGGGGTCACTGTCAGGGCTGTGTTATTTGCAGGGAACGCTTCTGTTCTTGGTGAAAGTTGAAAAAAAGGTCAAATCCATTTTAAGCTGGTTTTGTGAACGTCGGATTGTGCTCGTAGCAATGTGTTTACAGACATATTGCAAGCCTTTAGGGGAAGAAAATTCACAGCAGCCACTCGTAGTACAGAATGAGACCAGGTGGAAGCCTCTATATGATCTGTTTTAGACAGCTCTTGGCTCGAAATTGGGTAGAAGTCTTCAGGAGTGGGCAGTACCCTGAGACTGAGTTTTGCAGTGAAAGAAGTAATTCTTCTCCAGGTTATGTTTGGCTGAAGTTAGTGACAAGGATGGTCTCCAGTCCTGAAGGCAGAGGTGGCGTTGCCTTGGTCTACCCATGCGTTTATTTACCAGTGTTGTTGGATAGATGGGACTAAGGGGCACACAGGCAGAGCACTCTGGATTTACACATCTGCTTCTTTCCATGAGTTATTGCACACACTCACTGGGGGCTAAAGCGGGCTAAAGAAAAGAGTGTAATGTTAGTCTTAAACTATAAATGAAATACAGATTCTCCTTTGATTCGTTCACTCTCCCACGACTCCTATAAAGTTTTGGAAGGCTCGTGATTTCTGGCACTAAACTGAACTAAACTGAGTCTCCTTTGACCCGTTCAGTCTCCCACGACTCCTATGACTACAAAGTTTTGGAAGGCTCATGATTTCTGGCACTAAACTGAACTAAACTGAGTCCTGTCCAGGTCTGTTAGGAGAAAAACTGTCCTTACACTTGTTCTCAAGATAGAGCCTCAAAAAGTAATTCTCCACTTCTAATTTCTATAATGAAGTCTTGCCGTGTAGTTACCCTTAGGGACTTGGGACTCTTTTTCTTTGTCATTCAACCTTTCAAATGCAGCTGAATGTGTATTGTTGGATTTTTTTTATTTTTTTTTAGAATTAGTTCCAGCATCGTGACTTTTCCATCATGTCAGAGCCCATCACGCTCAATGTGGGAGGAAAACTCTACACCACCTCTCTGTCCACCCTGACTAGCTTTCCAGACTCCATGCTGGGGGCCATGTTTAGTGGGAAGATCCCAACCAAGAAGGACAGCCAAGGCAACTGCTTTATCGACAGAGATGGCAAAATCTTCCGCTATATCCTGAACTTCTTACGAACTTCTCACTTGGACCTCCCTGAAGACTTTCAGGAAATGGGCTTGCTTCGGCGGGAGGTAGATTTTTATCAAATCCAGCCACTGATTGAGGCCTTGCAGGAGAAGGAGGTGGAGCTTTCTAAAGCGGAGAAGAATGCCATGCTCAACATCACCCTCGATCAGAAGACCCAGACCGTTCACTTCACCGTCAGAGAAGCACCACAGATCTACAGCCTGTCTTCCTCCAACATGGAAGTGTTCAGCGCTCACATCTTCTCCACATCATGTCTGTTCCTGAAGCTTCTGGGTTCCAAACTTTACTATTGCTTCAATGGAAACCTCTCTTCAATATCCAGCTACCTGCAGGACCCCAACCATTTGACCTTGGATTGGGTTGCAAGTGTGGAAGGCCTGCCAGAAGAAGAATACACCAAGCAGAACTTAAAGAGACTCTGGGTGGTGCCAGATAATAAGCAAATCAATAGTTTCCAGGTATTTGTGGAAGAAGTGTTAAAAATAGCCATGAGCGATGGTTTCTGCATAGATTCTTCTCATCCTCATACTTCAGATTTCATGAATAATAAGATTATTCGCCTAATTCGGTACAAGTAGGAATGGCTGTTTATTGTGGTGCCAGCACGGAGATAACACAGGTTAAGTGTTTCCCTTTAAAACACACTTACAGCCTAATTCAGAATCGTGCTTATCTGGATTAAGAGTCACTAACAGGGAGATGATTTTCCTTTAATGTATTTACCAATACGACCTCTCAGAATATGTCCATATTCTAGACAGAAGGAATATTGTCTAGCGCCCGACTTAAGGATTGGTTCCGTCTCTGCCTCCACCTCTGACCTGCTGTACAATTGTGGGGAAAATCACCTAACTTCTGTCCTTCTTACATCTTCCACTTGGAAAATGGGCATGATCCTCAACCTATACTGCAAGGGCGATGTGACGGTTCAGTAATCAAGGCCTGGAAGGCTTTCTGGAGATCAGCGGCGGTGAAAGATGCCATGGAGCTCCAGCCCAGAGGACATTTTTGATGTCTCGCCGTATCACCTGTGCGGAGCATCCGAGAAGTTTGGTTGGATCCACAGAGAAGAAGCCTCCCCACATGCACCTGCTCAAAATAACTGTAAATGATGGTGCAAACTGCAAATGAGTCGGGTGCCCGTCTGTTTGGGTTCAACAAAGGATTTCTGTCACCATCTGAAGCTGACTCTTTTTTTTCTGAACCTCGTGAGGAAGCCCTCACTCTGGTCTGCAGTCAGGAAAGCCATGTTTGAATGATGTGACTGGCACAGGGAACGACCAAGGAACCCATAGCAGAGAGAACGGTCTTCTTACAAACCAAGAAGATTGGAACCAGTGGGGGAACTTTGCTTTGGATGCTCTTAAACCTTTACTTTTACATTCCAAAGGCAGCCAAGACAACTAGTCCTTTTTTTTTTTTCTCTTACAATGTTGTATTTGTCTGGAGGATGCTGCTGAAAAACACTTTCTGAGGTGGAGACATTAAGAGGGCAGAGGTGTCCAAATACCTTCTGGATGTTTGAGCCTCTTCTGCCTGGGCATGGCCACCTCTTGGGCACGTCTCCCTTCAGCAGTGCCTAGAGTGCACGGGATGCTCTCTGGGTAGGATGGATTCCATTTGAAAAGACAACTTTCCCAGGTTTTTCATTACAGAACCAGAGGCTCACTTTTCCTATCCCGGTTGACATTGAGCCAATTTATTTTTTACATCATCGTGAAACGCCCAGGTCACTAAAATGGCATTTTATCCACTTGCTTGTCTTTGGTGTCAGACTGTTGGAGGCAAAGCAGTGAGAAGCCAGAGGTGATGACAACGGTCAAGCTCTTTCCTACAGGCACAGTCTGTGCTGTAATGAAGACCATAATCCACTGGCTGCACGCGAGCTCTAAACATCATTTGTGACACATTCAAGGTGGTTCATTCTCAGCTAATTATGCCTAAAATCGCTGCCTTTCCCTAACTAGATCGCTACGTGCGCGTGAGAGACCCCTCTGGAACATTTCCCGTTATCTCTAATGAGACAGAAAGGAAAATGCAATAATTTAAGTTTTGCATTTAGAATTTTAGTGCTTCCAAAAGTTCTTAGCACGGGGCTGCGAAGCTCGGTGTTGCTCGTGTTCTCATTTCCCAGAGGAACTGGTCTGTTGCTGCATTAAGCTGACCATGAACAAGCATAAAGAAGCATTTTGTTGCTGTTGTAAAATACAGTGAGATAAATATATTTCTAATAATTGCATGAACACCACAAATGAGCACGCTGAGGGTAAAAATGCACGTTCTGCAGCTGCCGGCAGCCTGTTGCAAACCACTTCCCACTTGGTGCTAAACCTGCATGAGATACATGGGACCACGTTGTTAGGAAGCACCGACTGGGCTTGAAGCCCTCAGAGCCATTAAACCTGGCAAGTTTTGTGAATTTTGAGGACTGTAAACAGGGTTTTGTGGCTAAATTCCAACCTGAGTCACCATGTTCTTCTAGTTGTAGTTACATTAGGAAGAACTTCTTTTTCCCCATCCCTGTCCCGAATTACAGAGAGGGAGTAATCTGTTCCATGGGTTGCTGTTTGCCATTGACAAAGCAATGCAACTCCTGGGTGAATCTTATTTCTGACATGAGTTTGCCACTCAGTTGGACATTCACAGTGATGATCTATGCAGGTAATACGATTGTGATCTGTGAAAATACCATACATGAACCCTCTTTCATCAAATCGATGCCTTGAAACAGATCTGCCTTTGCTGAATTTATGCTAACAGAAGTTTTGGGGGCTTTTGGCACTATTTTTTAGCCCATGCCCTTGAGAGTAGATTTTAAATGATCTGTAACAGGAGCCCTTGTATGTCAGGACTAAAATAATATTTACCTGTAGTAATTTGTTTGCTGTCAGCTTGAGTTTATTCAAAGGTAAGAGCAGTGGGCTTAAATCTGGTTTGGAAGGAGTCTGCTCTAGAGCTGTGGATCAGTACTGCTGCGTTCTGCTTTAGAAAAATAAAATAAAAATATTCCCTGGGAGAGTTGAATCATTGCTGCATTTTCTGGTGAAAGGCAAATAAGAGGAGTCCATAAAAGCACTATGTAGTTTTATCTACAGCATTTACTGTTCTTTATTTTTACTGTTCCACTTTGCCTCCACTCTTTTTTTTTTTGTGGGGACTGCAGCAGCACCCCCATTAAAAGCAATTGGGCAGTTTCTTAAAAGTCTAAACAATAAAGTAAGAGGCCTAGACAGTAACTGGGGTAATTCTGCTGACACAGAAATAGGGGTTTCAAACCCCACAGGCTGAGGAGAGAACCAAACCCATCTTCTCCTGGAGTGCTTTAACCCATCAGCCTGGCGTGCAAAATGGATGACTTGAATAGACATTTATCTGTGCTCAGGTAATTAAATCAGGCAGAGAGATGCCTAAAATAGGCAGAGAGATGCAAAATTTCCAAAAAGTGTAGAGACATGAGTGAAGTCAGGCATTGGGAGGAACAGAAAAACTTGAGATACCTCTAAACTGCTACACGGAGCAAACATCTTTAAGCATGAGCTACTATTTATAATGCCTCAGTCGCTCTGCATGCTAATTAGTATATACCTCTAAACTGCTACATGGAGCAAACATCTTTAAGCATGAGCTACTATTTATAATGCCTCAGTCGCTCTGCATGCTAATTAGTATGGGAAGTAAGCAGCAAGTGAATCACTTGTGATTGCAGGCAAACACACGTTCTACAAAAGCAGTTGCTATTTCAAACTACACACTAAGCTAAATTTATATCTGCTCCTTAATTTTGCAGTCTGCAAATTACATGACAATGACTGTTTATAGGAATGTTCTCTCTCCAAAACGTTTGTTCTCTTTTTTTATCTAAATGGCTGGGTGGGTTTTTTTTACCTTCTTTTTTTGAGCCCTAGAGGAGGTGTAACTTGCTTTTGTTTACCCGTCAGTAGCACTGATGATTCTTCTTCTCAAGAGTTTTCCTAAATTAGAGAAAAGTGAACGTGCACAAAGCCATATTAAATACAGCACAATCCCATCACTAGTCATGAAAAGCACTTGACATTTATTAGCAGTAAATTAATGGTTTAAAATTATTTCACTGTCGAGTGTAATATTCACTCTAGGAACAAAGTTGTTTTTTTTTTCCTGTAAGGGCCTGAGAACAAGGAAGGGATCAAGTGAGGTTTTTTTCCCTTAAAAGTCAGAAGGGTGCTTTCTCCCACATACGAGACATAACTCCTGTTCTGATTTTGCCATATGACCATCTCCCTCAACAGTTTCATCTACAAAATGGGGCTAAGTCCTGCACTTTTTTTTTTAAATGGCCTAAATGCTGAGAGAGAGACACCGAATAGAGCGAGAGAGACACTGAATAGAGCGATCAAACCAGCCAACCCTACATCACAGCAAAGTTAGGGCAGATGATAAATAAGTTATTAGCTGTAGTCTAATGGCATTTTCAGATATGGGCATGTGCATAGCACAGTGGGATTTCTTACATGACAAAAAGATTATTATGAAGCATCTTAGTGGAGTCCAGAAAGAATCACTCACGGATTTCTCTATGTGTTTTGAGGCTTGGTAGCTCTTAAATATCTAATAATGTCCAGATATAATGAAGAGACTGAAACTATACTGACATACTAAGGCATCTTTAGTTCATGCAGCTGTTGGTAAAGGAGTAGAGCGAGAGAGACACTGAATAGAGCGATCAATAGCGTTAGAGCAGAAAAACAGCAGAGTTAGGGCAGATGATAAATAAGTTATTAGCTATAGTCTAATGGCATTTTCAGATATGGGCATGTGCATAGCACAGTGGGATTTCTTACATGACAAAAAGATTATTATGAAGCATCTTAGTGGAGTCCAGAAAGAATCACTCACGGATTTCTCTATGTGTTTTGAGGCTTGGTAGCTCTTAAATATCTAATAATGTCCAGATATAATGAAGAGACTGAAACTATACTGACATACTAAGGCATCTTTAGTTCATGCAGCTGTTGGTAAAGGGCATTAGAAGTCAGTGAGAGGAGTTATTTGTTGCTTAAGGTAATGGTAGGGAAATAAATAGGTTTAAAAAGTTAGACCTGGAAGAATTCACACGTTATCAAAAAACCCAGGATTTAGAAGGAAGAGAATAAAGAACCTTGACGTGTTCAGGAAAAAAACCCAGCAAGATAACAATGGACAAAGATTTTGCTACAGAAGGAGGCTGCGATTAGAATGACTCACTGCTCCCTTCCAGTTTCAATCTCTTCTTATGCAACTTAAATATTGGTCCCGCCAAGAGTGACGCTAGTAACTTGCCAGGAGTGGACAGCTTTGATATAAGCTGCTGCTTGAGTTCAATGGTGGTAAATACCTGCAATGAATCAGATATATTCCTGCTCTAGGAAAGGCTGGGGGGGTCCATATTCAAGTTTGATGGGAGCGATAAATTCTGCCTTCAGCCCGCGAAAAATAAATCTAGGATCTTCTGATACTTCACAGGTAAATGGAGAAGTTATGAAGAACATCCTTTGGGGAGTTTCATTTTCACCCCATCCCTTTGAATTTGGTGTCACTGCGCAGAATTTGGGTAAATTTTGAAATATTTAACTGCCATTCTGTACTGACTGCTGTATCCACTCACTGGTGGACACAAACGTGCAGGGTACAAGCCGTGCTGATGTGTGGCCCTCCCAGTAAAAGTATTGTACGTGATTTAGTACAGGCAGTTGTGTAGATATTCTGTGCAAGAAGGGCTGGATCGACCATAAATATGCAGATCATGCTCTCAGATTCACTTGAGAGTAACACAAGGGATGGTTTCCCTACAAATTCAGGGAAAAAGAGGGAGCTGTAGGGGAGGGCTGTGTGAAATAGTTCCTTTTCTCTTCCTCTTGCCATTCCCCTCCCTCTTCTTTGCCTGCTCCTACTCCTAACTGTAGTATTTTGCCAGTGCTCAGAATTTTTATCCCCGGTTCGCTACAAGCCATGCTTTTGAATGAATACTACTTGGAAAGTGTCAAAAAACGGGTTTTATTTCTTACCACTTTTGTAGAGAGCCTGTAGGGCTGTCACACTTCAAAATCTGGTTGTGGTTCTCTGCCTGTAACTCCTCTGTGTACTCCTACTAATAGATATTTTAGAAAACACTAAATAAAATATGAATGAAGCAGGAGATGCTCTGCCTGACATACATTTCTTGAGGGAAGTGCACGCAGCGAGACTTGCTGAATCTGCAGCTTTTCCTCTCTCTAAGGATTTTAAAAGCGCGTCACTGCAGTGCTTGCCTGGACGTCTCCGTGGCTGAGAACTGCAAGAAGCTCCCCAAAATTAGCGCAGTTGTAGAAAACTTGGATGAACAAGCCTTCTGAAATAATCAAAACCATTTTAAATGCATTAGCACCTTCACGTTTCAAACATTTCTAAGCAGAGGATTCGTTTCTCCAGTGAAAACCCTTCTAAACCCCAATGCCTTCCCGCTGTTGAACTTGTCTCTAGTCCCTGAGTTTGATTCAAAAATTGAGTGTTTTCCTGTGAAAGAGCACTTTATACCTGGAAGGTGCCTGAGACTCCTGTGGCACCTCCCTGGAGCAGAGCTAAGCTGGTATAATAATTGGAAGTGGCTTCTGCCCGATGCCAGGGAGCTGTCAGCATGAGAGCTGCCATAAATTTGCCCATGGTCTTCACCCAACATCATCCAACTCCACCTCAGCCAGGTCCAACAACCACCCAACTCCACAGCTGGTCCCGCAGCACCCCAACCTCACCCCTGACCAACACACACTGCCACCCAACACCAGAGCTGGTCCCACAAAAGCCAACCCCACAGCTAGCCCCACATCACCCAACTCCACCTCACCCAGGCCCAACACTGCCCATCTTCATAGCTGGTCCCACAGCCACCCAACCCCACTGGTGGTCCCACACCAGCCAACCCTACATCCCTCAGGCCCACCACCACCCAACTCCATGTTTGGTCCCATAGCAATCCAACCCCACATCCCTCAGGCTTAACACCACTCAACTCCATACCTGGTCCCACACCACTCAGCCTCACTGGTGGTCTCACACCACCCAACCCCACATCACCCAGGTCCCACACCACCCAACTCCATAAGTGGTCCTACAGCATCCTAACCTCACCCCTGACCAACACACACTGCCACCCAACCCCAGATCTAGTCCCACAAAAGCCAACCCCACAGCTAGCCCCACATCGCCCAACTCCACCTCACCCAGGCCCAACACCGTCCACCTTCGTACCTGGTTCCACAGCTACCCAACCCCACTGGTGGTCCCATACCAGCCAACCACATATAGCCCAGGCCCAACACCACCCATCTCCTTAGCTGGTCCCACAGCCACCCAAACTCACTGGTGGTCTCACACCATCCAACCGCACATCCCTCAGGCCCAACACCATCCAACCCCGCTGGTGGTCCCACACCAGCCAACCCCACTTCCCTCAGGCCCAACAACACCCAGCTCCATACCTGGTCCTACACCACCCAAACTCACTGGTGGTACCACATCACCCAGGCCTACCACCATCCAACTCCACATCACTTAGGCTCAACACCACCCATCTCCACACCTGGTCACACAGCCTCCCAACCCCACTGGTGTTCCCACATCACTCAGAATCACAGAATCACATGGGGCTGGAAGGGAACTCTGGAGATCATCAAATCGAGTCCAAACCCCCTGCCAAAGCAGGTCATAGAATCATAGAATCATTCAGGTTGGAAGAGACCCTTGGGATCATCGAGTCCAACCATCTACCCTACTCTCCATAGTCCTCCCCTACACCATATCCCTCAGTACCGCATCTAAACGTCCCTTAAACACATCCAGGGATGGTGAATCCACCACCTCCCTGGGCAGCCTGTTCCAATGCCCTATCACTCGGTGAAAAATTCTTTCCTGATGTCCAGTCTAAATCTACCCTGTTGGAGCTTGAAGCCGTTCCCTCTTGTTCTGTTGTTAATTACGTGTGAGAAGAGACCAGCACCAACCTCTCTACAGTGTCCTTTCAAG